TACAGACTACCACATACAGACTCCCACATACAGACTCCCACATACAGACTACCACACACAGCCCCCCACATACAGACTACCACATACAGACTCCCACATACAGACTCCCACATACAGACTACCACATACAGACTCCCACATACAGACTCCCACATACAGACTACCACACACAGCCCCCCACATACAGACTACCACATACAGCCCCCCACATACAGACTACCACATACAGACTCCCACATACAGACTCCCACATACAGACTAAAGGTCTTAAATGTAACTTAGTGAAACCTGAATGAACCCTGCAGACCTTTCTGTGTAGTTTCATATTCTCTCCATGCATGTGTGGGTTTTCTCCAGGTGATCTACTCCTCACACAGAATGAAAACATGAATGTTAGGCTGGTAACTGTAAGTGTCTGTAGATGTGAGTGAGACAGTGAATGTTGGTGTCTCTGTGTGTCTCTGTGTGTCTCTGTGTGTCCCTGTGGTGAACTGGACACCTGTCCAGGTGTGCCCCTCTGACAGGAAGGAGCAGGTCAAAGGATGGGTTTTAATGAGTTGTACTTCATCCTGTAATTATTTTCTTTGAGTTTGAATAAAGCTTAGTTTAAAATATAAAATAATTAGTTAAATAGATATAAACAAAGTGTAAAACGTCCCTGCTCGGTGTTCGGGACACATCAGTGCTCTGACGTAGGCYGGCCCGGCGGGTCTTGGCGCTAACGCCGCGCAATGCATTGTGGGCCGTCGGCTGACGGAGAAGCCAACATGGCGGTGAATCCGAGGCACAGGACCGAACCTGCAGCAGTAAAAGGCCGTGAATGAAGTCCACCGCACAGCGARCCCCAGCGCCTCCGCCCAGCCCCAGATCCTCCGCAGCGCCCGAAGAGGCCGGAACCCTTCACCAGCAGCCGGACTTCCCGAACCTCAGAGGAGCCAGTCTCGTATGAGTTCCGACGAGAAGGAGGACTGTGAGTGTGCGACACCACAGGCCGAGGCCAGCCCCGACAGAGGACCTGACAGGTGGGCACAGCCGCAGGAAAGAGCCGGGGATGCCGGGAGAGGCCCGGGAGTCCGCGGCTAGCTAGYTAGTTAGCTGTTGCTATTAGCTGCATGAACATGTCTCTCCTGCAGTCTCACTGGCTGTTTTTAAATAAACATCAGTTATAGGCAGATGTTCCGTAGATAAATGTGTGTTTTTGGACAGTAATTATAATTTCTGCTGGTTTACTAACTGATGTTTGGTGTTTGTTGGGTCAGTACGGTCGTGACATCTCTGCCTGTTTCTGCCCTCAGACACTGAGCTAAATGTTTTTATTTAGTTATAAATGTCTGACAGCAGCTTCATATTTAACAAGCTTTAACACAGAGCTCTGCTGCACGTCTTTAACAACATGACTGCTGAGTTTTAGCTACATTATTGTTGTTTTTAATCACAGCTAATGAGCCAGAGACAGGCTSATAGCAGCTGAATTAAGCTAAAACTAAACTGCAGCTAAAGACTAAAATGAGCTAAACTACAGGTATAAATGAAGAATACTGTATTAAAACTGGTGAAAATGACCTGGACTGTAGTTAAAATCTGACAGCTAAATGTTAGCTAAAAGCTAAGTGCAGTAAGGCTGCAGTGAAAAGAGCTAACTAATCAAAACATACAGTTAGCTTACAGCAGCTAATAACAGAACAGCAGCTAAAGCAGTAGCTAAAATTCAATTCAATTCAAAAATACTTTATTGATCCCAGAGGGAAATTAGGTGTTGTTGTAACTCATTTAACTAAAAACTTATAAAAGCTTTAAAACATGGGCTAAAGGTGAAAATGGTCAAAGTAATGGCTAAAAGATGTTAAAATAGTGGCTAAAACTAGAGATTGTGAAACAGCAGCTGGACCAGTAGTGAAATAAAAGCTAAAACAAGAAGAGGAAACCAGGAGCTAAAGTTTAAAAACTATTAAAAATTAAAAATGACCAGTAGCTAAAAGTACAAGAATTATAACTAGCAGTAGTTAGTGGTGTAAGAAAATATCGATACACTGAAATATCGCGATATTTCATTTCCTTATACTGTATCGATATTCTAAAGCTCTGTATCGATTTTTTATTCAGGTTTAAAATGTCAACTTTCCTGCCAGCTGTTCATTTTTATGTTGTAGTTCAGCCTCTGACCACTAGTTGGCAGCAGTGAGCCAGACGTTTGGCTCCTCTACCTCTTGAGGTAGAGGCTATTGTTAACTCAAAAAGAAAAAAATAGTATAGGTCCTCTGGAT